ATTTTTTTTTTTTTACATTTTCATCCAAGGTTTCGTTTTTTTTAAATGAACATTTGCAATATTGTATAAATAATAACTTTATTTTTAGAAAAGACACACCAAGGGTCATATAATAATTCAGGCACTTTTAATAAAAAACAATATCATATAAAACATTTACTGATGCTACCAACACTGCCATAAGTTATTCTTGCAATTTCAACAAAAATTTTACTGCCAGTAAGATTATTGTACCTTAGTGACAAGTTAAAAAAAAAAGTTGACTTCTACAAGTCAAAGCTATCTATCCATTGACCATAAAGACCAAAAGCTGCCAAACATTCCCTCCCGCATGCACAGTCAGCAGATGAACCCTTCACTGTCTATGAAATTAAGGAAGGGAGGGAAAGACAAGGGGAAGACTGATAAAACAAAAGTCTGAGAGCATGAGGACTAGGCTTGCCGCGATAGACGGTGCTGACGGTGATACCGGTGTTAAGCCGTATAATATATGTTTAAATAAATGGCAAAAGTCAACAGGCTTTTCAAAATCCAAAATATTGTCAAACAGGCGCTTTTGCATTTCGTTTCGAATGCGGATGATTTAGTTCGAAACGAAATGCAAAAGCGCCTGTTTACTTGTTTCCAGTTTTGTACATTTAAACTTTATGCAAGTTATTTGTTATTTTATATTAGGCATAGCCTGCCCTATAGCATGGTGTATTTTTATTTGTTTTGTTAATAAAAGTTCTGTTTTATATATACGCTAAAGTGAGTTTGACGTTGTATTTTGTTGTTGCATTCAAGCAATTGACGCCGAACTGCCCCTATTTGAAAGTGAAAGTAAAATGCGCACGCCGCTTTTACAAGCTATTTAAAAGCGAAGGAAAGCGAGGAAAAGAGGAAATGCCCCCGCGGTGATACCGGTGTTGTCACACGTCGATTAACTGGTGGGAAAATTTCCTCACTGTCACAACCCTAATGAGGACACCTTGAGAAGATCCTCCCCATTACTCCAAGACATGTTCATTCTTGCTCTCACTCTCTCAGAAAACATCCATCCCTATTAGTCAAATAGATCACGAGGGAGGTCTAGAGATCCCTAGAGGAATTTCCTGCGTTCAAACCTCCCTTCAACCTCCTGACCATCTACCACAAACATCTTCATAACTGCTCCAGGCTTCATAAAGAGAGAGTCTATGAGGGCGGCTTTCTCTTCTGAAGACTAAACATCTTCCCACAGTTCATTTCTAAATGGTGGAATTTCAAAAGGGCTGAGTCAGCAGATCGACTCTTTATGACATCATCACATGCGTCTTCATGAGATCCACCTGCATTCATCTCCAAAATATTTCTCCGAAATGAGCTATGAAGTGCCAACTCATCAAGTGACTCAAGCCTATCATCAGTGAAAGATCCAGACTGGTACTTCAAACACACACAATGATACTTCTTCACTAGTCCTGACTTGTTCTTAGAGTATGTGTGTGGTTACAGTGATCCAAAATTTCCAGTCATGGCCAAAAGAGCTTTTGTTTTCCCATAATAACTTTTTGGAAATGATCTCACAATGTGTTTCACTCAAACTGGTTTTTCAACAGTTTTCTACAACTGAAAATTGTTCTAAAAAAACACTTAGGCTATTTATCAAGTCGGGTTTCATCCAGAGATAGCTTCTATTATTGACATGAGGGACAAATGATAGAAAAAGACCAGACACAACTCCAAAACACAACCACTACTGACGTCACAAATTATGGACTGGTAACATTTAATTTCCCAGGTGTCAGTTTGGTAGCACCGGATAACTATGAAATGTTCCTGAAGTTTCTAGGAAAACTCTAAAAGCCTTGTTAAACAAAAGCAAATGTTGTTTCACGTATATATATATATATATATATATATATATATAAGAAATTATATATAGTTATGGAAGGGTGTCTTTACAGGTAGAGGATATATCCAGTTCTCCAAACCAACTAGAGGAACCATAATACAGCCAAAATACTTAAGCTTCATGGGCACAAAATGGAAGGACATTTTTCAAATTTTACTATCTTATTATAGCAGAAAATATCATTTGTAGACACAAAACTACTATTAAAGATACTGAGGATACTATTCATGATTTAAATAAAACGGAATAGAGTTGACAAAACGCGTTGAACACCTAAGAAACGTTTATAGAATGGTATAACATCAATTCACAACAGGATTAGCAATATCAAAAAATGTTTTTAAGACAAATATTACTCTATTCTGCCTCAAAATGTCATTTAAACCTGCATGTGTATAATTGAGGCTTTAGGGGGCGTTTAAACGCGACGCGTTCTTGGGTTCAGTCCGAGTTACGTTACTTTTAAAGGGGTCATATGATGCGATTTCAAGTTTTCCTTTCTCTTTGGAGTGTTACAAGCTGATTGTGCAAAACGTAAAAGTAGTTAGGAAGAAAGTTATGAACTGACAGCCCGAGTAAACGATGACTGAGTGAAAAACGCGTCTCGACTGCGTTCGGTCTCATTCCGCTTTTGTGTTTGAGCGCGCGAACGCGTCCAGGTTTCTTTGGTAACTTAACACGTGTATGCTAAAAATCTCTTACAGAATTCTGGCTGTTATGTCCACGTTGCCTAAAACCATATTTTTACTCGAAACCATCCGCGTTTAAAGTACGGTAGCTTTGTTGCACAGAAAATGACTTTATCCCTTTTAAAAGTAATACAAACGCGTTTTACCTGTAATCATCTCCCGCTTGCCTTCGTCCAGGTTGGTAGAAATCACATCACCCATGATGGCGATTTAAATGACAGTCACGGATATTGAAGAAAGTTCCTTAGGACCTGAAACTTAGGAAACACTACAGAAATGTGTCCTTCGAGTCTTCCAAATAAACCATCCCTGGTCACTTCAGAGCGTTGCGTTCATCTTGCATTGACTTGACTTCACTGCCTGCGTGCGTGACGCCCTCTGCGTGAGAAACAAGACTCATTTAAACCTGTTGAGTCAAATGAGTGACATTCAGAGGGTGTGGCTTACACCGCCTGACACACCCAACTTCACAACAAACCGCCTGTTGTATTTTTAATCACAGCTGATTTTAGAGAGTCTGATATGATCAGGGATTTGCTTTTGTTATATGATGGGCTTTACTTGATGTATTCATTTATTTAATAGAAAGGGAACCCGTTTTGTAAACGTTTTTATAATCTTTAAAAGTTTGTTTTTGCTTTTAACAGAAAGAGAGTTACACCAGGATACAATATTAAAAGTAAGAAAAGATTCAATAAGTGATTTATATACATCCATCAAAATGTCCCTTTCAATGTTAAAACTCCTCAGTTTTCTCAAACAAAGTTTAAAAATATAATTATATTTTATTAAAACACAACATAAAATAATGTAATTTATAAAGACACTTCAGAGCGTTGCGTTCATCTTGCATTGACTTGACTTCACTGCCTGCGTGCGTGACGCCCTCTGTGTGAGAAACAAGACTCATTTAAACCTGTTGAGTCAAATGAGTGACATTCAGAGGGTGCGGCTTACACCGCCTGACACACCCAACTTCACAACAAACCGCCTGTTGTATTTTTAATCACAGCTGATTTTAGAGAGTCTGATATGATCAGGGATTTGCTTTTGTTATATGACGGGCTTTACTTGATGTATTCATGTATTTAATAGAAAGGGAACCCGTTTTGTAAACGTTTTTATAATCTCTAAAAGTTTGTTTTTGCTTTTAACAGAAAGAGAGTTACACCAGGATACAACATTAAAAGTAAGAAAAGATTCAATAAGTGATTTATATACAACCATCAAAATGTCCCTTTCAATGTTAAAACTCCTCAGTTTTCTCAAACAAAGTTTAAAAATATAATTATATTTTATTAAAACACAACATAAAATAATGTAATTTATAAAGA